CTTACCTGTGTGTGTATCTACCTGTCTACCTTACCTGTGTGTACATCTACCTGTCTACCTTACCTGTGTGTGCATCTACCTGTCTACCTTACCTGTGTGTTACATCTACCTGTCTACCTTACCTGTGTGTACATCTACCTGTCTACCTTACCTGTGTGTACATCTACCTGTCTACCTTACCTGTGTGTACATCTACCTGTCTACCTTACCTGTGTGTACATCTACCTGTCTACCTTACCTGTGTGTGCATCTACCTGTCTACCTTACCTGTGTGTGTATCTACCTGTCTACCTTACCTANCTCCTCTCTCTCTCGCGCTCTCTCCCCTCCCTCTCCCTCTTTCTTTCGCGCTCTCTCCCCCTCTCTCCCCCCTCTCTCTCTCTGTCGCGCTCTCTCTTAGCCCACTGCATGCGCCCTTTCCCGCGCCAAGTGTCAGAGTCCCCGTAAATAGTCATGACTATCATAAGTCTAAAATGCCGCAACCTTTACACGACCTTCAATCTAAAAGTGACGCCATTTCACACTCTTTATCGCCTAACTATTTATAACGTTTCTGACAACGGGTGCCGGCTCATGCGTGACCCTACAACCCCCTTCCTTGTCTCCCCGCTCCGCCTTTGATGTCAATCATTATTCTAACCTTCTGCCTATTCTAACCCTCTGCACGTTGGAGTACTCTGTTCACGTGTATTGTAGTAGAATGGGATTATTCAAGCAGCGACACCAACTCGCGTCTGCCGCGCCCCCTCACGGCCTTCCCCTGCACCGCTCCGCCGCTTCTTATTTGCTCTTCATTTCCATCCTCTCCCGCCCGAGTCCTCTGAGCGGCAGCGCCCAGCCTCCCCCGCGGCGTGGCAGGGCGGCGGGCGGCGGCGGCATCAGAGGGTGCGTTTACTCGGGGGTGGGGGTGGGGTGATGCTTGTTAACGTGTGACGATGTTTGTAAGGGGGGTAGGGGTGGAGGTGGGGGTGGGGGTGGCTATTGTGTCCGCGTCACGTCAATGGTGGTGTCCGGTCCGCTATCTCTCTCTCTCGCTTTCTCTCTCTCTCTCTCTCGAACCATCATCTCTCTCTTCTCAGTCGTCTCTCTCTATCTCTTTCTTCTCTCTCTTCTTTTCTCTGGCTCTCTCTCTCTCGTCTCGTGCTGCGTCTCTTCTCTCCTTTCCTCTCTCTTCTCTCCTTCTTCTCCGCTCTCTATCTCTCTCCTCTCTCATCCTCTCCCTCTGCTCCTTCCCTTTCTCTCTCACCCCTCTTGTCTCTTTTCTCTCTTCTCTCTCTCTCTCTCACTCTCCTCCTCTCTTCGTCTCTTTCATCTCTCTCTCTCTCTCTTCCTCTCTCTCCGCCGCGCTCCTCCCTTCCGCTTGTGTCCCTACTCTTCCCCCTCCTCCTCCTCTCGTCCTCTGTCCCTCTCCTCTCTCTCTATCTCTCTGTCTCCCTCCTCTTTTCTTTTTTACCTCGGTTTCCCTCCCCCCGTCCTGCCCTCTGCCTCTTCTCTCTCTCTTTCTTTTTCTCTCTCTCTCTCTCTCTCTCTCTCTCTCTTCACGTGAAGTGCTTACATCCCACCAAACACGGTGTAGAGCATGTTTACCGTGGCGATCCCGCGTGCGTGCGTGTAGGGTTGCGCGTGCGTGCGTGCGTGCAGACGTCCACGTAGATGCGTGCGAGCGTGAGCGCGAGGCGTGTGCGTGCGTGCGTGCGTGCGTGTAGGGATGCGCGTGCGTGCGTGCGTGCGTGTAGGCGTGTGCGAGCGTGCTCCTACCTCTTACCTACCACTTCCTCCTCCTCCGCCCCGACCTTCCCCTATGCTCAGTCAGCATCATGCTCCTCCTGTTGCTCTTATTCTTTCTTTTCCTCTCCCCACAGCTCCACTTTTCTCGGTTCTGTTTCTTTCAGGGCGGGGTCAGACCACGGGCGCCTGTGCGGGCCCCTACCTGTTCGTTTCTCTTCCTGTGTACCT